ATTTTGAGGATGGGAATGAGAAGGAGATGGTGAATCTATTGATAGGTCAAATAGGAATGGATCTTTATCCTTATCTTCCATAATATAGGACTCCCCCTGAAGATAAGGTGTAGTAAAATATGGTTTATCTTCTGCAAATGTGACATCATCCAAGACATAGAGTTTTCTGGTGGGTGGATGAAAGCATTTGTAACCTTTTTCTGTGGAGGAGTATCCTACAAAGACACATTTAACTGCCCTAAGATCTAACTTGCCATGATTGTTGCTATGGATATGGACAAAGGAAGTGCACCCAAAGTTCCTAGGTGTAAGGTTGTTTGTTGCACTAATGTCGGGATGGAACTTAGAGAGAACTTCCATTGGACTTTTCAACCCTAAAACCCTTGAAGGAAGTCGGTTTATAATATAGGCAGCAGTAAGAACCGCCTCCCCCCAATAGTGTTTCGGTACATTTTGATGAAATAAGAGTGCCCGGGTAGTGTTTAGGAGATGACCATTTTTCCGTTCAACAACCTCATTTTGTTGTGGGGTTTTGATGCAAGATGACTCGTGAATAATTCCCCTTTTTGGAAAAAAAAGAGATAAAACTTTATTAAAGTAGTCCTTTGCATTGTCCGACCTAAACCTTTTTATTTTTGTATCAAACTGGTTTTGGATCATCGTATGAAAGTTAGGAAAGATGTTACTCACATCAGATTTGTTTTTTAGCAAGAAAAGTCACGTGACTCTAGTGCAATCATCGATAAAGGATACAAACCATCATGAACCAGAAATATTTGGAAGTGTAGAGGGCCCCCATATATCACTATGGATTAAATGGAATGGAAAAGAACTTCTATTATTGCTAATAGGAAAATACACACAAATGTGTTTAGCGTACTCACAAATATCACAATGAAATGTCCTAATATCTAATCCCTTAAACAAAGAAGGAAACATGATTTTTAAGGTTGTAAAGGAAGGGTGACCAAGGCGGAAGTGGTGCACCCAGATGACATCCTTTTTTGTAGAAGAAAGAAACGAGTAGGGTGAATTTCTCTTTATCATACTTGGAAGGTTTGACATCTCAAGGTAATAAAGTCCATCCTTTTTTCCAGAACGTCCAATCTTCTTCTCCGAATCTTGATCCTGAAATTCACAATAAGAGGGATAGAACCTTATAAGCCTGGCCTTGTAGTCGTTGCTGCTGTCCTCCTTTATTTCCTCACTCACGGCTGGTTGTCGACGGCTTGCCATGTAATTTCTAATAGCATTCTCTTGTGTGTCTCGGCTTTTTACAATAGGTACACCATATGTCATCTCGATTTGCTCCCTTTGACACCTCTGCCTTTCCATGCTCAGCTTTTGGTGGTTGCTCCAAAGTAAGTCCCTGTTGCTTGTTACAAGAAGTTGCGAGTGCAGATCCATCAGCTGTTTCTGGTTCAGGCATCACTCATCTTCGACTCTCTTCATCCCGTATCACCGATATTGTCTCATTAAGAGACGGTACTTCCATCTTACCTAGGATTTGAATCCTCATCTAGTCGAATTTAGGGTTTAGACCTGCAAGAAAATCATAAACTTGATCTCTTTCTATGAAGGTTTTACTCGATAATAATCCAACTCTTGCCGATAATTTTGTAGAAAGTTAGCATAATCGGTCACAGTTTTACTTCCCTATTTTGTGGCTGCTGTCTTGGTCTTAATTTCATATATTAGTGATGCATCATGGTCTTTAGAATAGGTTTGATTCAGTGCATCCCATATTGCCTTTGCGGTTAGTAGAAACATGCATGTGTGTCTGATTTCGAGTGTCATAGAATTCCACAACCAAGACATGATCATGGAATCCTTTTCGTCCCATGCTTCAATACCAGTTTCACCCTCTTTCGGTCCAATTCCTAACAAATGACTCAATTTTCCTTTGCCTTTCAGAAAAGTCCGAACTAATTAGGACCACTTCAGGTAGTTTCTGTCGTTAAGTCTATAAGCAGTCTGGATATTCTGTAATTCTCCCGTGGAGCGCTGACTTTGTTCTTCCTCACGCTGTTGGGATGATTGAACCACTGGAGTTGAAAAGGTTAATTCTGACATCTCTTAATCTGAATATGAAGTCACAGAGAAATAGAGAAAACCCTAGCGAAGGAACACAAAAGGAAAAAAACTGGATAGATAATCGATTAAAAAAATTGCAATGAAGGCACGTCAGGGAGAATTCGGCTATGATTGCAGAAGAAGGAAAAAAGTTTCTAATCCCAGGGAAAAAACAAGCCATATGGCTCTAATACCATGTGGAAAAAAATAAATGATTATATTTTATTAATCGCATTTACAAGAGCCTCTAATGGACTATATATACACGGATAATGGATAAGAGATAAGAGGAGATATAGAGTTCCTGGCAGAGATATCCTAATATCCTAACTTGCTGTCATCTGAATCCCTAAATTCTAGGAATTAAGTGTTTTATCCAATTCCTAAAGTGTTTATCCCATCTCTAGCACCTATTTCCCACAATCTTCAACCGAGTATAGTAAGTGTTGACATCAAGGGAATCTTGAGAAAGCTCGTGTAGTTGTTGCTTGATTTGAAAGATGTGTGGGGCGTTGCTCTAATGAAATCGATCGCGCAAATCGGACCAAACAGCTTGAGCACTGTCAAGGTAGAGAAGCATGTCAGCTATTTCTTTAGAGACAACACTAAGAAGCCAAGATGTGACCATACAATTACATCTAGACTAAACACCCGAGGAAGGATCCCCTGAATGTGGTTGCGAAAGAGTATTATCAACAAACCCAAGCTTATTTTTGGCATTAAGGGCCATAAGCATGGCACGACTCCAAGTATTATAGTTAGGCCCGGTGAGCATATGGGAAACAAGGGCCAGGCCAAGATGATCACCACTGTGAAGGAAAAAAGGACTGTGGATATTATCCATGGCAGAAGAATCATGCGTGGATGTGGTGACGAAGGAAGATGGAGGAGTAAGAGGCAACATGAGAAGAACTAGCTTGGTCAACCTCTTTGAAAACAATAGGCCCCAAAATGCTTACAATAAGCATAGAATTCAATAGGGAACAAGTCTTCAAAGAATCGAAGTACCAATGCACATCTTTGTCCTGTTTTATCATCGTTCATTTCACCGATTCGAGTTTAGAATTCGAGTTTTGCTACAGTAAAAATCTCTCATAAACACTCACATCTAACTTTTTTGCTACAGTAAAATTTTTTTACATAAAGTCACATTTCAACTCGAATTAAAAACTCGAATCAGCAAACTAGTTGTACCAATATTCAAAGAGACCATCAACTTCACCTCATAACCGGGATCTAACCGTATTTGATCGTATAAAATCTCCAACAACTTGAGATAAATCGAATTATTCACAATTACTTCGATATAACGACCATCCTTATACCGGTTATTCCCATCCCATGTGCCATCATGACAAACAACAACGTTAATCTTTCCCATAACTACAAAACAATAAAATGAAGTAATTGTTAAGTCATAGATTAATCAAACATAGTCAATGAATGATTATAGAGTATCAAAACGTGATTGTCTAGGATGGTTTATTAGTTAAACCAGTACATGTCAACATAGGAAAACAACATCAAACCATAATGAAAACAGATCAAACCCCTTAATAGAGTCAATAACTCGTGATTGATTCCAAATTAGCAAACCCAAAAAAATCAAATCACAACCAAAGAATAAACAATCTGATCTCAAATAAATTTTCAAGAATAGCAATAAAAATACAGACGAAACACATAAATTCAGTCAATTATTGACTCCGGCCAATCATTGATTGACTTAGTACAGCAAAAACAAAGAAACGGCACCAAGCAATGATTGACTTAGTACAGCAAAAACAAAGAAACGGCACCAAGCTTGTAACAAAACAGATCAAAAAGTGAATTTATTCCAAAAATTAGCAATTAGAAACTCAAACAAACAACACAACAAAATTCAAGGAAACTAAAATGCGAAACTAACCACAAGAAAAGAAACGAATCAAATCACAAAGAATAAACAATCTGATCTCAAAGGAAATTCCAAAGAATTACAATCAAAATAAAACCTCATCTGGAAAACAAAATTAAGAGAGAAGAAGAACATAAATCTGAAAAATAGAAGAAGAAATAGGAGAAAATACCTCGTCAATCCGAAATGTCAATCTGAAATCAAAGAAGAAAAACGCGAGAAGATGAAGAAGACGAAGGAGCCTCCTCAATCTGAAATCTAAGATCTCAATCACATTTGGAATTGAGGTTCGACTAAAACGCGGGAAGAAGAAGGATGAGGTGACGTGAAGAACTCTAAGGCTAAGCCTCCTAATTTCATTGAGTTTTTAATTTTAATTTTATTATAATTAAAAATTTTTATAAAAAATCACATTTAAATAATTTTTTTATTATATTAAAAAATTTTCATATAAAATCATATCTTAATTTAAATTAAAATTTTAAATATACAAATTAAATGAGGTCTAATAAATTTAAATAAAAAAATAAATGAGAAAATCAAATATATAATAATAAGGGATCACTTATTTGTGAAAAGTTAGGCCGTAAGAATTTCCCATTTAAAAATTAGGCCTACATGTTACAAGAAAAAAAAAAGGTTAAGACTTGAGATGAATTAAAATTAATAAGTTAATAGTTTACATAAATTAATAAATAGGCTAAATTACTGTTTTTATCCATAACTTGTATGATTATGAACCATAACTTGATAAGTTATTGTCCATTTTTGTCCATAACTTGTCCAGTTATGAATTATAACTTGACAAGTTTATCTATAATTTATTTAGTTATGAACTATAATTTAACAAATTATGACCTATTAATTTTTATAATTAAAAATTTACTTATATATTTTTTTAAGCGTTTCATAATAGCCTATTTTCTACTATTTCCGTTTTATTTTCTCTTTTCTTCTCTGTAAGTTTCCCAACAAGCAAAGCCCATTTAATATGTGGCCCAACTAATTTAGCCCTTCGGTCCAAGGTTCACCTCAACTCACTTCCCAAATTTACATCGTATCATCGTATAATCGAAAAACAACCTCGTTGCTTTGCTTTTCTCAATTCATTACATGTCACATAAAGAGGCCCGAGACCCTCTTTGATTCAGTTCTCCGATTCCTCAAAGCTCAATTCCCTCCAGGTAAACCCTACTTGATTCTTTCCCAAACCATTCGAAATTTCGAATTTTTTTTTGGGGATTGTAATTCAGGGTTTAATAATAATGTGTTGGATCGACGGAAGACTTTGCTGCCCATGTTTGATGTAAAAACCAGTTTGATATAATAGGGATATCTGAATATTGTTCTGCAACTTTTGATCTTTTCATCTTTTGCTGATTTGGGTTTTGCCGAGAAAGATGTTTGGGATCGGGAAATCCATCGCCACGGCTCAGGTTTCGACTTCCCCAACAGTGTTGTCTTCCTCGTTGTCTTCCGTCCCACATAGTTCATCGAATTCCTTGCCTCTTCTTCCGCTCAGATCACGGAGAAAAATCGCTCCGATAACCGCTGCTTCGTCCTCCGGCGATGCTGGTGGGCCCGCTTCGGAGAAGGGGAATCCACTCGCGGTGGTCCTGGATGTTCCGCGGACTATTTGGAAGCGCACATTGCGGCCGTTGAGCGATTTTGGTTTCGGTCATAGGAGCATTTGGGAAGGCGGAGTCGGGCTATTTCTAGTTTCTGGTGCGGTTGTTCTTGCTCTCAGTTTGGCATGGTTGAGGGGGTTCCAATTGCGGCATAAATTCAGGAAGTACTTGGCTGTGTTTGAGTTTTCTCAAGCTTGTGGCATTGCGAATGGGACGCCTGTCAGGATTCGAGGCGTGACCGTTGGCAACGTTGTTCGCGTAATCCCGTCCTTGAAAAACATTGAAGCAGTTGTTGAGGTTCTTTTCATTCGATTGAAAGTTCGATTATCGACATTGTTTGATTTTGGCTATGTTAAGATGTATAACTTTTCTTTTCAGGTTGAAGATGATAAAATAGTCATACCTAGAAATTCACTGATTGAGGTGAACCAGTCAGGTCTTCTTATGGAAACGATAATCGACATTACTCCGCGAGACCCGATTCCACATGCTTCAGTGGGGCCTCTTGACCCGGAATGTGTCAAAGAAGGTCTAATTGTGTGTGATAGGCAAAAGGTGAAGGGAAAACAAGGAGTGAGCTTGGATGCATTGGTAGGGATATTCACTCGCCTCGGGCGTGATGTAGAGGCAATTGGTATTGCCAACACTTATTCACTGGCTCAACAAGTCGCTTCTGTTATCGGAGAGGCAAAGCCTCTGCTCGCAAAGGTGTGTAATGTGCCCTTCTGACGCTGTTTCTTTAATTCTTTATCTGTTTCTTTTTTCTTTTCTTGGTCGGGATATGCAGGTGGTTATGTTTGTTTTTGTTCTCAAATTAACCATAAAGTTTTTTTACCCGTGCTGAAAGAGCCACTAGTTTGTGTCAGCTAAACCGGCATAAGCAAACTGGTTCTTGTTAAATGGAAAGACTTATTTGTGAAAGAATAAACTATGTGGAATCTTTTGTTAACTGCCCATATTGTTGACTGATGTGAGTTTCCGAGATTCGAGATGTTTCAGAATTTTTTAAGGCACTTTTTGCATTTGCCGAGGAATCCCCCAAAAGGGAAAACTAGTAATTCAATTATAGGCATCTATTGAAATCAGCTGGCCTTTTTCGACACACTAATGAAAATGTTTGTTGTAACTCTATTATAATTCTCATTCAAGGTTATGAAGCAAGAATTTGGATTGATTTCTATTTATATTCTGAGAGTTTGCATAAAGGTCAAGTAAGGCTAAATTATGATGAATACATGAACTTATTGAATTTCAAGTGTGCAGCAACTGTCGTTGATATCTTTAGATAGAGGAGTGAGGTGGAGGGGAGAGACAGAAAGAGATATTAATAATAGAAGTGCCCATTAATATTTATTTTCTAGAGAAGCAGCAAAAACTTAGGTGAAAATTTTAGTTTTTAATGTAAAAGCAATGAAAGAAAGTTGGTAAAAGAGGACTCCTCCTTTCGGGAGTTTCCAATTTACTTTGTGTGCACGTTCTCATGTACATATATTTGGCTTTGATGTAGTGATGTCTCAGATCCAAGCCATGGCTGAAGATATTCAACCTTTGCTAGCTGAGGTTCGGGATAGTGGTCTGCTTAAAGAGGTTGAAACTTTAACCAAAAGCCTTACTGAAGCCTCTGAGGATTTGAGGTGAACTATCCCAATATAAACTACGTCACTCTCTGCTTGTCTTTATTTACGATTTGTTATGCTTTTAGAAATATTGCTTTTTGATGTGATGTAACTTGGTGTAGATTTGTTTTAGAAGCTTTTGTTGTTTTATTGATATTTAGATCCTGTTTGTTAAGTTTGATGGAACATCAGTCTGTTTTTGTTATTATTATTATTATTATTTTTTTATATAAGATTGAATGTGTTATTTCATTGCTATAATTCTGAAAGTTGTCATGTCTTTCAAACTTGTCTCTTCTAAGTAGCTTAAGTTGCATCATTAATCTTTCTATTAATTTTGTATTAAAATGTTCAAAGACTTGTTTGTATTATTGTATGGACTTAGGACACGTTTAGTGCACCGTATTGTATTGTATTCTATTCTATTCTATTCTATCATATGTTTTATCATCATATTGCATTTGCGGTGTTTGGTTTGTAGTAAATTACATTATATGTTTTATCATCATATTGCGTTTACGTTTTAGTTTGTAATCGGATAAAATTTAAGTCTAATCATAACATAACTCAACTAAAATCTCGATCCAAATCCAGCATTAGGAGCGGGCAACGAAGAAGGTAGAGTTGTTCAACAGTGTTATTTTTGTAAAAAAATTTTGAAAATGGGATCAAATTGTAATTTTTTAAAAATTGAGGGGTAAAATAATAATTTTGAAAAATTTTCGGATCAAAATATAATTTTGAAAAAGTAAGGGGTCAAAATATAATTTTAAAAAAATTGGGGCGGGGGGTCAAAATATCATTTTTTAACAATTGAGGGGTCAAAGTGTAATTTTTGAAAAATATAGACTCAACATTGCTTCGATCTTGAAATTTAACCTCAGCATTGGTCCCAAAATCCGATCCCAACTCTTGATATTTTTAAAATATTTTATATGTCTTATAAAGTTAAATTGCATAATACGATCTAATACATAGGTTTTTATCCGTATTAGATATCACACTATGTATTGTATTAAATTTGAATTTCTTATTAAATTATACAATATATGAAATGGTGCCAAACATTGTATTATTCTTTAATAATACAATACGGAGTGCTTATATAGTGTACCAAACATGTCTGTGTTTAAAGACTGGATTTTGATAGTTTTTCTAATGATTGTTCAACTACTTGTGATTTCCTGTTGAACAATTGATAACCATCAATTTTGTTGAAAGCTAGCATCTATATATATATATATATATATATATATATATAATGTCCATGTTTCCTCCAACTCTAGGTTTTACATGTATGATTCTGATTTGTTTCCCATCAATGAGTATTGGGTTGCACTATTTTCTCGATATACTGATGTTTAGCTTCTAGATAAACATCAAGAATCTGATTTATTGTTGGGAAATATATATATATATATATATATAATGTCCATGTTTCCTCCAACTCTAGGTTTTACATGTATGATTCTGATTTGTTTCCCATCAATGAGTATTGGGTTGCACTATTTTCTCGATATACTGATGTTTAGCTTCTAGATAAACATCAAGAATCTGATTTATTGTTGGGAAACACTAATCCTTTGGACATGATCAACGAAATTATCAACCTTTTGTCCTGTTACTGTCCTGAAATACTTCGAGTTTGAGAAACTTGGTATGTGCCTGTGTGGTCGCTTTATTTGTATGTTTGCTTTCGGATTATGCTTTTGTTTGTTTATTTTTGTTTTGGATGATGTTGCCAATTTCATTGCTATGTAACCTATAAAAAAGTTCATTGGGATCCAATTTGGCTTTAGTGCAACTAGATTTATGAGACTCGTTTAATTGAAAGATACAATACTATAAATCAAGAGAACTCAATGCTATTAAGATCGTTGGTACCGGTATCAATACAGATCTGAAGTCATTGCAGTTCACACATACACCACCAGTTTCGAAAACAATAAGAATATCATTTTCAAATGCAAAATAATTTCTGATCTTGGGTTGAATCCAGATGCTAGTATTATTAATTTGACTCATTCAGAGACTTAATGATTATTTTACCTGTTTGCCACTTTGCTTCAATTGAAATTTATCTCGAATTTCAAGATGGTTTTTCTGTTCTCAATGTCTTGGTGCATGTGTGCTATTCACTTTCAGGCTTATAATTGTTTAGCGTATTCTTCTGTGCAGAAGAGTGCATTCGTCCATTTTGACTCCCGAGAATACAGAACTGATTCAGAAGTCGATATACACTTTAATTTTCACCTTAAAGAACATCGAGGTAAGATTTAGGCCTCATTCATTTCACCAATTCGAGCTTTCAATTCTAGGTTTCTACAGTAGTTAAAAGTTCTCAGAAAATGCCGCATTTAATTTTTTTCTAGTACAGTTAAAAGCTCTCAGAAAATGTCACATTTCAACTCGAATTGAAAACTCGAATTCGCGAAGCGAACGAAGCCCTAATTACAAATTTCTGTACATTTTTTCAACAAGTGCATAATTCTCAGTTCAGTACCTTAAAGGATAACGTTCTGTTCTGTTTTTTCATTTTCCGTCATTCTATCTTTGCAGAATATAAGCTCTGATATCCTTGGATTCACTGGTGATGAATCTACAAGAAGAAATTTGAAATTACTTATCAAGTCTCTTAGCAGGTTATTATGAAGTTCATCAAAAGAACTAACTTTTATGACTAAAGATACCATCGTTGGTCACAGAAATGGTTTCCAGGTTCCATAATTATAAAGAAGAGAAATGTGAAGCATCGCTTTCGAGTTTTTTTTTTGCTTTTTCCGAAAGAAATGTGGCTCCTTACAGTTCAACTAAGGCATTTCCTTTTAGCTCATGTTCCATAGAAAAGCTTTTGATTGTAGAGCTACATTTTTCATTCATCTTAGAGTTCTATTGATGTGTTCTTATGATCTCTTTAGATTCATGCGTTCTTATTATGTCCTTTTTATCAAAACCATTTTGAAGTTGCCAATATCCTTCGGACTGATTATCCTGAGAGCCTTATTTGTTGTTGTAGGTTCCGTTTTCAATAAAAGGTTGTACTCTTTTTCCTTCTTTCAGATTTTCCCTATGGGGTTTGACTATAAAAGGGTTTTAATGGCACCTCTCTTTTACTTGTGGGGGTAGGGGGGGAAAAATGAAGAAGGGGAAAGAAATAAAAAATTTCCATCTCATTTGGAACCTTAAGAAAAATTATGGGAAATTTTTTTTTTTTTCAAAAGTTTTGAACCGACCAGATGGATGATGATTTCGTTGCGAGGTCCGGCGTGGTGGACAACGGCGGAGCTGGCGAACTCGCAGTGGAGGAAGGCGACAGATCTCACCAGTGAAGACAGATCGCAGCCGAGGACGGCCGCTGGGGAAGAGAGCAGAGTGGGAGATGAGAGGGGCGGAAATAACGAGCAGAAGAGAGAAAGAGAGAGAGTGAGGAGAGGGAGAATGTGAAGAAAGAGAGTGTGAAGTGAGATATAGATTTGTGGAATAAAGTTTGGATTTTGATTTTCCTCACTCTTTTTTGGAGGAAAATAAAATCTAAATTTTACATTATAAACTTTCCCTCAAAATTTCCTTAAAAAATTTTTCATCATTTTTCCTGTCTCAAACAAGGTCTATCATAATGCTTACCGGATTTGTGCTCGTCGTACCTATTTCTTCTGAATCTTGAATGCATCTGCTTTACACCTTTTTTATTTTTTATTTTTATTTTTATTTTCCCCAATTCAACCAACAAGCCGAAAATATGATACCAGATTTTTAGAACTCCAGGGAATTACTTTAACCAGCACTGGTGGTGTCTGGCATAGCTTGTGAGTATAAGTCACACATTCGCTCAGTTTGATAGTGATTTTCAGAGTCTAAACGTGATTTTACATTTATCCACAGCTACTTTTAGCGTTTGGTAAAAAATGTAAAAACCAATTCTAAGAGAATTTTAACTGCGTTTGGTAAAAAATGTAAAAACCAATTCTAAGAGAATTTTAACTAAATCAGTAGCCAGAAGCAGGCAATTTTAATACTTCTGCTTTTAAATTCCCCGTCAATCACTGATAACATTAATGATAATTTTATAATACCACAAATATCCCTAAAAACTTTAGAAAATGACCAATTGTATCATTATTTATTCTCACAGACTATAATCTTACTCTATTCCCCTCCACCCAAAACTATCATCTCTTCTTTTTTACTTTTTTTTTCCTTCATACTTTGCTACGACACATTGAACTTAGCCACACGATTAGATGATTGAAAATGGAATAGACATTTTTGTTGTATATGTTGCTCACTCATTAATTTTTGTTATAACTATATTTGTGAATGAAAAAATGAAAAAAAAAAGAATTAATTATCATAAATTTATTATTAGAAAACTCATAATCATGCCATTATGTTTTTTTTTTTTAAGTTAAACAAGTATTTCTAAATACCAAAAATAATTATATATATATATTTAAGTTTCATACCATGTATATTTTGGTCATTTTAATTACCCACAACAATTCAACCTCACAATTTACCAAACGCTATTACACTGATTTTAGAACCAACACAGCTAGTATAATTATAGTTTACTAAACCCTCAGCTATTTTTTGTAACAGTGACTTTTTCCTTCAACACAGTTAAAAGTAATTTTTTTAAAATTCACAGCACTACCAAACTAAACCATTGCCAGTGAATTGTTGATATTTTTTTTTAATAATAATGATAACCAGTGAATTGTTGATTGTAACACCATTTGTGGTAAACGGTGCATACAATTTATTTGTTTGAGAATTCCCCTAAAACAATATAATATTATTTTAGACTGTAGAAACTATTTAGTTGCTGGATTAATTTTTCAATGATTTGATTGTTAACTGTATAAAACTTTGCAGCATGATATATAACTATTTTCAATCACAGATCTAATGTTTGAAAATTAATCTAGAGATTAAGAAATATGAGATTTACAAGATAAAAAAAATATAAAATAAAAGCTGTCAACTTGAATTTGATTATGCCAAACAAAGTAAATACTAGGTACATGCTAGATTTTCTAGTAAACTAAAATACAAAAAACTATGTAAATAAAGGATTTACGTGTTAATACGAGATGTACTACATAAATTAAAATTTTCAATTGTGTATAAACATTTACTAGGTAAGTAAAGTATCTATATAGTCCTTGCATATTTATTTACTTAGCAATTAAATACATATTTACTAATTTATCTACTCAACAAATACATTATTTGATACATTTTCATCAAATTTTTACTTAAATTTTTAGATAATTAATTTAGTAAATTCTTTTTTTTTTTTTTTGACAAATTGATATCTTTTAGAATCCTCGAAAGTTGAATCCCAGAAAACCTCTAAATTGAAACCCTAGGCCTAGATTCCCAAATTACGTTGGGAAAATCTAATTCTTAAATTTCAAAACCTAGAACTCTCAAGTACATTTAATAACTCCTATCGATTGTGAACTCGTGATGGAGTTCACCATTTCTCAAGGAAGGCCGTCGCGCTTTCTCGTTTGAGCTCGACAACATCCGCATTTTGCCAAACACAACTTCTAAACTTCTACAATGACAGTGAGCTTCATCGATGAAATTCACAATCTCTTGACGATGTTCACAGAGTTTGCATATTGCCAAAGATGACGATTTTGCAGCTTATGTAATAATGTTGAGATATATTTTACATTGACGACAATCTTAAAGCCTAGAGGAAGATGACAACTGTAGAGGGTAAAATCTACAATTGAAGAAATCAAGGGCCAATGACCTTGTTAGGAGTCGTCGATTAGTAAAATTGATTCGTTGTGAGAACGAGAGCATTGATAAACTTGAAAGTAAATGAAAACAGTAGAAAGACAAGAATTTCTACTGGCTTCCATGATAATGCAAGGTACATCCAATGTAGGGCTCTGATGGTTTCACTATAACTATTGTAAAGCGTTACAAGAGTCATTTTGAGAAGAACAAGATGAGAGAGAGAGAGAAGTATGTTGGAAAATACAATAAATAATAAAGAAATATATTGTAAGTGAGCATGGGAGCTTTAGTGTGATGTAGAAGATTACGTGTTGGAGTTGATGAAACTCCACAAGTTGTTTCCTAATTCTTTGCGTGATATAGCCTTCAATTCATGATATTCCCTTTTTTTTACGCTGTATGACTTTCCTTAACTGGTTTTGTCCATAATCGACCGGTCAACCATGGTTTCTTGCCCATTTTGAGTTGATCCGGCCTCTTTATTGCCTGATTGTTGGAGATATAGTTTTCTTGTGTGGAGGACAATCAATTTCGTCCAATGAGAGGGTATCTTGTGGCCTAAGTCAACCTTTGACATTTTTCCTCATTAATTCTTCTAGTTGGAGCAATTGATTTCTTTACTGTTCTGGCAGATTCTGTTGCCAAATCCCGTATAAGGAATGTCTTGAAGATATTCTCTCGTGACTTGATGCCCAAGGCTAGCCTTCGTCTAATGGGATCAACCGGTGAAATTGACCAGTTGACCAATCGTTTGAGCCTGCTCGGGGAGTCGCAGTGACTCATTTAGTGACCTTCCAGAGCTCGAGTTGTCACGTGCACAGTGAGAGATGAGGTACGAAATCTACCCTCAGCAGTAAGCCTTCTCTCCCATTAACTGATGGAAGTCTGGTGAGGAATGTTTTGTCATTTCGTGTGGCAACTTGATCGTCGGAGGTCGGCCCATGGAGAGGTTGGCTCGAGCAGTCAAGCCTTCGTTTGATCTGTGAGCTGTCTATAAAGGCTTTGGTCGCCACGTGGTGCATCCCCTGAAGAGGAGACAGTTCTTTTCCTCAATGTGACGTGCACCAGTGCATGTTCTCCCGTTGTTCGTTTTCCGCAGCGCTTGCAATGATAAAATTTTTGGGACAAACCCTAATTGTTAAGATTGGAGATTTTGGGCCATTAGATGGGATTTGGGTAATAAATAAGGGATTTGATTTTGAAATCATTTTAAGCTCGTTCATTTCACCGATTCGAGTTTAAAATTTGAGTTTTGTTACAGTAAAAAGCTCTAAAAAAAATCACATCTAACTTTTTTACTACAGTAAAAGGCTCTCATATAAATTCACATCTGAACTCGAATTGAAAACTCGAATTAGCGAACTAAACGAGCCCTTTATTTATTCTCAAAACTGGGCAAAAAAACCTTACTCTATAAGTTTTTCTTCTCTTTCTCGTTTTCCTTCGGCCAAGTTTCCTCCACTAGTTTGCCGCTGCACCGCCGTTGCTTTTACGTCAATGTCGCGTTCCTTTGCCACCGCCATTGCTTTCCATCGTCTTCTCCAAAATTAGTCCATCTTTCCTCTTCGTTTTCCTTTGTGTTTTTTGGAATAAACTTGTGGGTTTAAGAAAGGAATTTTCTTTAGTCGATTTTGGGTTTCATGAAATGTATAGATGATTTTTTTGGAAACCTTAGATTTTTCCTTCTTGTTTGCACTTCGTAGGATCCCGAAATTACGTTACCTTCGCCGTGGATAAGCTTTTGAGTTCCTTTAGTTCTCTGACCAAACTTGGAATCAGTGGGTTGACCGAAGGGTTATCGACTGGTGGTTCACGCTGGGTTTCTCCTCACGAGCCATTGGTTCCTCGATCCAAAGGGTTGATTTCTGATTATGAGGATAAGTACCCTAGCTTGGGGTACCTTGAATATAATCCTCCTACGGGTTTGACGAAGGAAGAAGTTGAGAAGTGGAAGGCCCTCTATGGCTTTCTAGTTGACTTCAAAGTTTGAGTGCCTTACTTGGACGAGAGAGTTGATTCTTTATGCGATGGGTAGTTCACAGTCTATGAAGTCTTCTTACGCTTGGAACTGTGATTCCCCATTCCGGCCTTCACATCGAGTGTTCTGGAGAATTACCACTTCACGGCTGGGCAATTGATGCCTAACGCGTGGAGGGCGATTTAGGGCTCGGGAACTTGTCGCGCAAGGATGATGTGTATCTACATGACAGGGACTTTTTGTAGTTGTTCTACATAAAGCAAAATCCTAATTCCGGGGGTCAATATATGTTTGCGCTGACGAAGAAACACACCATCATCATTGAAGAGGTG